GAAGTGATGGAGATTTATCTGAAAATCAGCATTCGCTTCTTAGAATGTGCTTTTCTAGTAGCCATTTTGTACCAAAATTTTGATTTTTTATACCATATAATTATAGATTTATATTACATTTATTAAAAAGTATCCAAAAATGTATACATGTAACGTTTCTACTCTCCAAATTGAAGAAAATCTTATAGATTTTGAAGTTGACACTCAGAAATCGGTTTGAAGCTTCCTTACTTTGAAGCATACAAGTTAATTGCATTATTTTCTATGGCAAATATATATAAATGTTAAGCAGGATAAAGTAAAATCACGTGACATCTCCATATAAACACGTGCTTAACTCCTTTTAAACTTATCAGGTGTGCAATAATAGGTTATTCTTCTCATAAACCTGAATTTTTCCTCCTTATCTTCGTGTTACTAACAATGGAGAGAACGTACTAGAAACTGTTTAAAACTTCTCAAAAACTTGCCAATTGCTAATTAAATTTGATTATTTTATGATTTAAGCTACTAATTTAGCTTAAAAATTATTATATTACAATAAAAAATAGGCATTAAATAGGTTTAAATTAATTATTAATATGTAAAAGTAGGATTTTAAGCATCAGTTTGCTACTCTACTCAAGTATGTAGAATTGAATGATCTCCACAGCTGTGTGAAGTAATAAGTTAAAATTAAATAAATTTTATGTTTTTAATAACTTTTTCTCATTAAAATTTCTTAAAATAAATGTTTTACATTTGAATTCTTGAAGAAAATAATACATAAAATGATGAGAAAAGATCAGCAAGATCAGCATCTTTATCTGGATGCTGAAAGGATGCTGACCTTTCTTTGTGATCAGAAAATGTCAGCATCCTTGTAAATTTATGATTGTTTACCTTGTTAAAAATTTCATAAGGTAACTTTTTATATATATTTTATGTAAAAGAATAGTTTATAGAGTTTTATTGATGTTCTCCAGTTAAATTTCCAAGTGTGAAGCCACACTGAGAGGTTATTTGCGATCTGACGAGTATGATGTTTAGGTGACAGATAATACTCGATTATCATCACCTCCTGCAGCTTATTTTCATGTTTTTAATCACAGCTTGACTTCTTAATGTGATAAATTCACATTTTATTTAAAGTAAAGTATTATTTAATCAAGAAACAGTTCATTTTCAGTCGAAATTTCTATTTTATTTATGACTAGAATTCTCTGTATTTAAATTAATTAAACTTAAAATTTAGTGATCTAAGATATGCAAAATAAATTCATTAATTCACTTTCTTATTCTATAAATAGGGAGCTCCTTATTTTTCCTTATTTATAGTGTTCTACCTTGAAGAAAGACTCGCTATACGAAGGGGTCAAATCTGACACGATTTTGAATCTTTATAGTATTATTATGTTAATCTACAGTTAAATAAATCCTTAAATTCAAAATTTGAATGATTTTTAATGAAAATATTATACTTTTACACACTTCTAGGATGCTCCAAAACGTAAGAATGAGTTTAAAATTCGTCAATTTTTCAAGAGAAAGATGCTTTAATGACAAACTTTCCTGGTACTCCAGAATGGATGGCCAATATAAATTCAAATAGAAAAATAAAAAAGAAAATAAACCTGTACTTGCATCAAGAACTGCATTAATGAATCTGTCAGGAAAATAGGTCTACTGCATTTTTATCACTAAGGACATATTTCACGTAAGACGAAGGTAGACAAGAATCCAAGATGAATGGCGCCCACTTCGATCACTGCTATCGACCATTCCTGTTGAATCAGTAGTAAAATTAATCACTAGATCATAAAAAAGTAAAGTTGAAGAATCAAAATTACACTCGTGGATCTTTTTAATGGGTTAAAATTTAAGAGAAGGATGCAACATCCACCTCCAAACTCTGAGGAAAGTAGGTCTCGGATCTTGTGCAAATGAAGGGTTGAAATTGTGTTTATGGCATTAAAATCGTATGAATTTATGATTTATGTGGGGGTAGAATTGAAGAAGAGGATGAGGAATGTAGGTTTGAAGTTAAAATCTAGCAATAAAAATATATAAAGAAGAAGAGGATGCAGTTAGATGAATACAAAACATCTGGAAGTTAGGGAAAAAAAAACATGAATAAACNTTTTCGTATGTAATATTAATTTAAATGTTTAAAAATAATAATAAAATTTGTAAAATATATTTAAGGAAATAAGGTTTATTTTTCCAGCTTTCTTTTTCTTCTGTACATTGTAATTTATGAGGATTTTTATGGATATATTCTACACTCAACAGATGTTTTCTCATTAATTGTTACATGTAAAACTCTTCCTGCTATCAAGTAGGTCAAAATTATTTACTGTTTATCACTTAATTACTGTAATATATATATATATATATATATATATATATTACAGATATAACAATAAGCATTTCTTAAATCAATTTACTGGTTTTAAACGGGTTTAACTTGTGTAGGTTTTTTTAAACTCTAAATATCTATAATTATCCGCGTATAATGCGCACTAAAATGTAATAATCTTGATTATATTTTTAATTAAAATTAGATAAAATATAATTAAAATTTTAGCTTACCGATCAGTAAATATTTGACCATTGTTAAGTAATCCTTTAGCGAGAATTCGTAGAAGACAGTTGGATTTTTTTTATGACCTTCCTCACTAGAGAAAAGCGAGAGAGGTTCTGAGATGGTAGAAGGACCCTCTGGGATTTTTTATATCTTAGGGACCAAAACTCGGGGGATCCGAAAGGTGAAAGGTCGTCGAAGTCCTCGTTCATTTCTCGAAAGAAACGTGACGAGAAGACAAGAAAGGGGGCAATTAAACAGGTAAAGGCCCCATAGACTCCGTTAGAAAACGGCTCCTCGGGCTTTTGTCTAGAGAAATTACCGAAAAATAGAACTATTAGAACTGTTCTAAATTGTAAAAAAAAAAAAAAAATGTGTATTCAAGCCAAATTGTAATGGTGTTTGAGATTAATTTATTTTTTTCTCTTAAATACAAAGAGTTTATAGATAGGTTTATTTGAAAATCTTTTAGATTATTTTCCGGTATCTTTGAGAAAAAATATATATATATCGAATTATATATTTTAGAACAAAAGAAGAAAGGAGGAAAAAGTAAAATGGTGTGGCCTCTAGGACATAATATCAGCATTCAAGGCTATGCGGGTCCTCCAATTTACTGTATAGTAAAAATGGGGAGCGGTTTGGGTGTTGAATGTCTACCCTAAATTGAAATAGTCTCCAGGCAAATTGGATGAGATAAGAAAGAATGAAAAGTTGGCTTTATTAAGCAACTAGTTCCTTTTTTTTTTAATGAGTCATATCTAGTTCAAGACAAGTCCCATCACTCTCAACTTGTCTTTCTTCATTTACGTTATACAAAAAAGAATTTTAATTATTAAAATGAGAGATGATATTCGTGTTTAACAGCTTAATTACTTACCATACAGGATTTAATGAGGTTATTATCATAAACAATTCGTTTTTAATACGGTTGATGGATGAAAATGATTCGTAGTAGAACCATCTTTATTCTCTTCGTTATGGGAAGATTCAGAATAATTATCTTCAGAATTATGCTACTATTACCTCTAGTTGACCCATTGTTGTTTTATACACTAATTACGCATGTAATAATTCAATTCTTTGAAAGATTATGAAGATTTTTTTAAGGTCTTAACCGGGGACACTTCCTGCTCACTTTCATACAAAGTGTCATGCCTTTCTCCGCCCATATAATACCAATACTTATAATCACCCCCGCCTAAATACTTTTATAGGTTGGATGAAACGTTCTACAAGTAGAAATTACCAGACACACCAAGAATCTTTCGAAATTTCGAGGCCTGAAAAGGGGTGCTTCTACTCCACCAAATTGTCCTCTTCGTGGTAAGGCCTCTAACGTCAGAGCCCACACGCGTTAAAGACCTTTAACTTTATTAACTTAACGGTAATTAATTATATTTACAGCCATCTCGGAAGCGATAATTTATAACTAGATCCATCCTCTTGTTTATAATATAAGATTTAAAATGATAGCGTTGAAGATAGAGATTAAAATCTTTGTGTGTTTCCAGACGTAAATTAAAGTTTATTTTCGGCAGGTGCAGACAAACTTCGTGACAGACATCCCCCAGGCAACACCCTTCATGGCCCTTCCTGTACGGAATGGTGTCTGCGACCTTGTACTTCAGTACAAGACTTTACTAATAGAGTTTTTTTGTGTGTGTTGTTGTTCGACTCCTCCTAGAAGAGGCCCGAAAATTGAGGATTGAAATAATATTTTGGCCTACATTCACTAAAATACAATGACAGAAAGTAAGGAAGACTCGTTCTTCTCTATAACAATGTAAGAAAGTATCTTACAACGCTTAAAAATTGGCCCAGTTTGATTGACAAGTCATGTCAGATATTAACAAGATCCATAATTTTAAAGTAGTTTAATTAATTTTATATGAAATTTAATTGTTTATAACCGATTAAAAGTTTATTTTTATACCTTTCTTTAATATTTTGTATTAATTTTTATAGAAATTTCATGAAAATCAAATTTAAAACAAGACTAGGCATTCAGGAAACCATCTTAATCTTCATAAATCCGTACAAGTTAGTGGTATTTTGTTACGAATATATTTAAATTTTGTATAGAATTTTAAAAAATTAAGTTTTTTATTTATAATTTAAAGTCTTTCTAGTTAAATTATCATCAGTATTTTTCTCTTTAAACGTTGAGAAAGAGTAAAAAGTAGGATAATGTTCGCCATAGTTATGTTACATCTTCAGCGAACATTATAGAGAAACAAGTAAAAAAAGTGGGTTACGACCATAATTCACTTTAAAAAATGAGAAAAAAATCAAGAGAAACTCGAATTGTTTTTCAGTTTGCTTGCTTTTTATTATTACATGAGTATAAAACAATATATTATATACATGTCTTCAACAAACAACAGCTACCATTGTGAAAAATGGGATTTTTTTTTAATAGAACGAAATGAGGCGATGCAGTCTCACAAATGTGCACAACATGGAAAGCAATAGGCTTTCACCCAAGCCGACTTCGTGAGTCTCCTGGTAAACGTGTCTTACCACCAAAAAATTGGACAGGAAAGGGATGGGCAATCCCACTAAAATGCTTCGACAAGGACATTCCGAGGACAATACATTTTTTTTTTTTTAATATATTTATATATATATTTTTTATGAGTTTTGATGCTGTTATGCGCTGTGATTACTTACAGAATGCAGTTAATATTGACTCGTTATTGTTTGCTGGATATACAGTCCATCACGACAAACAAGGATCCAGTAAAATTGCCATATTGAGATCATCGACGTCCTCTTTGAGATTCGATGGCCTGGTTGATTCTTTGAACGTCTGAATCTTCTAAGAAGTATGCCTTTGGATCTCCGATTCTATTATTGAGATCGAAGAAGCTCTGTGCTTGATTGCAAGGGACTGCAAAGTCTGGATCAGCACAGGTTAAACTTCCCTGATTGAAAACGGTCTGGTTGCCACAGAAGAAACTGTATTGCTCTACTTCCTGAGTTCCATCCGGATGCTCTATGGGGTTACAGACGTGGAAAATTTGGCAATTGTTATCGACATCGGCGTAATAACCGTATCCTAAACCATTGCAACTGAATGACGTCTTGATGCTTCCTACTATCAACTCTGCTCCATCTGGCAATTCATATGCTGCACGTTTTACCTATAAAAAGGGACGTCTAGATATAAATTTTACACGAAAAACAGTATAAGAGTTTAGATTAGAGAGCTTTAAACAATAATCTAAGCTTCTATCAATCTTTAAAGTCGATTTAAAGTGAAGTTCTTTCAACCCGTTCTACGGGTGAATGCACTTTCACTAAACGATACTCACGAGGTGAGGTCAGAGAGGAGGTTATAGATTAAGCTTCCTGATCTCGGAGAAAGGATAGAAATTTCTAAGAGTTAAATTTATCTTTGTAATTATTAAACTTACCCTAGGTAAAGCAACAGCCAGAACTGTAATAGCGAGAGCTGCAAGAAAGAAAAATTCATGTTAATACTCAAATTGGCTTTAAAAAAACAGTAACATAACGTAAAAAATTTACCAAAAATCAAACTTTTAAACATTTTTCTTATATAAAGTGACGTAATCTGTAAGGAGAAGATGTAGAAAGTCTTGTTAAAGAGATGCCAAGGGAATAATAATGAAAGATTTAAAAAGTTGGCATGGGATCAAGTATCCAAAGGGTTGCTTACCTGCGACGTGAAGTCGTACGAGCAGACGAAATGGCACTGTACATGACCAGAATCCGTTAGGTTTTATATACACCTTGACAGCCCACCCCTGTCTGTTGGGGTCAGCGAGTTGAAGGGTGAGCGAGCGTCCTCGTCCCTTTGAAGTGTGTCAGCAAGAACGTGATGAGTCAAAAGAGAATCGAGACCGGTATGACTGGTAGGGCACAGGTCCCGTTAAGCTTAGAATAGATGGGGTGGAGGATAGACTGATGATGCTTAAAGTCTTCCTTTCACTCGTCACTTTCAGTTCCGCACTCTTCAAAGGATCCTTTATTGAAATTGCTCTCTATTAATTAACTCTTTGCTCCTTCTCTTCTTCCTCAACTTTATCAACTTACATTTTAAAAATTCATTTTTAAAATATTATAAACAATTAAATCAAAATACATTAAAACATTTTTTAATTCTAAAAATTCGCGTAAAAACCTGAAAAAATTAAGTAAAAATTAAGTAAAAAATTAATTAAATAAATATATTTGAGACTTTAATTTGCATATAAATTGCTCTTCTTAATGTTTAATTTATTTAAATTTATTTAAATAATAAAATAGTATATTTTATATGAATTTTATTCTTTATTTAAACCCATTTTAATGTAAGGAGCACGTTTAACATACCATAAAAATGATTTAATGCTTATTTTCGTGTATAAAAGAGTGAGATAAGTGGGAGTGGTGTTGCATCATATTTACCTATCAATATAATGTTTAAATTGTATTCATCCTCCGTTCTCGGCTCACCTTGACAGATGAGATGAAGTTTTCTCCTTGGATTCACATAAAAGTTTGGTAAACAAAATTAATTCACGTGACGAAGTGATTTATTAATGTAATTTCCTGTGGAAAATTGCATTAAATATTGTTATTCTTATAGAATTACATTTTCCTACGGGTCAAAAATTTCCTGTATAATTTATTATTCACACATATTACAATTTCCTACGAAATTTCATATTAAAATTATAATTTCCTGGATCCAAGAGAAATTGAAATTTAGTAGGATCCACAGGAAGAATCTTGTAGGTAATTAGGTTAAAGATTATTCTTCTTATAGAACACGTAGAAATTTGGTTCCTGTGGAATAATGAGAAAAATGGCTTAAAAAACTGAAGCTTTATAGTATAAATCTATGGGCTTAATAACAATTTTTACATTATATAATTTGTGGACTTCCGTCTTAAATTACAATTTTATAGACACAGAATTCACAAATTTCCATGTCGTATCTCACCTTAAGAACTTATATAATTCCATAGATTTCTATGTAATTTTGTATACTTTTTACCCCATAACTTATGAGATAAATAAGCTATGAACTATATAATAATATAACGAAGAGAAAAATAAATATCGGTTAATTCGGCCACGAAAAGAGATTTATCAAAAGGAAAATGAGCATAAACGAAAGTAAAAATAGAGGAAATTTTTTTTTAACAAAAAGGGCATAAAAAAACTATATATATGTCCCCCTTTCTTGGACTCATTCGCTTGTTTAATAAGAGTTTTAGTAAATGCACCCGCGGGCCGAAGAAGCTCTATGATGCTGTGTCACGAAGCCAACTTGTCTGACCTACATACTACTTGTTCACTCCACCTGCGGCCAGGTACAGTACTTGGTTGACCTTTAACCTTACTCACTTTCCTCGTCTGACTTTACTTACACAGCAAATACGACTTTACTAAACGACTGGCGATCATCAAGAATCTTAAAATCGAAAGTCGCGTGCGTAGTTTATCACCCTTTAGTATCGAAAAATACACGTATATACACAGAAAATAATGAAGCGTAGATACTGTGACGTAAGAAAAATGGAGTGAAGAGTATTATGTTAATAAATTTTTTCGAGAAATTTAATTAAATAGAGCGCGATGCTTCGCATCACCCATTTCGCATCATCGCATAGCTTCACGAAAAGATGATTATAATCATTTCGTGTCACTTTTTTTTTTCTTCTTGTCGTGGGAAGGATGATGATGATGATGCAGTCGATAGGATGAGAATTTCCATAAAGTATGACGCATCATTTAAGGGGGGGAAAGGTTGATAAAAGTAAATAGCTAACACGCAAGAGACGAAAACATTTTAACTCCACTATACCGAAACATCCGCGTGTTTATGTCCTTGACTTAATTATTACAGGTTTTCTAGTATTTTTCCACTTTTCTTAACGTAATTTTCATGATGCCACGAACGAAAAAATAGTAATTTTACTGTTTTTTTCTTTTTTTTTAAGTAATATAAATGATGATACCGGGAAAATTTAATTATTATTAATTAATATTAAGTCCTTTTTAATGTTTTTTAAGATTAGGGGAATTATTTCTACGTAGGGAATGAAATTATTCCACGTTGAAACTCTCGTACCGTGTATAATGCGCACTTTTATAAATGCGAAAGGATTAAGTTATCTCGAGCTTACATCAAAACGGGTAGTTAATAATTGTTAAGTTTAACAATTATTAGCGTGTAGAGAACAATTAATTTTGTTCTTACTTGCTTAGCTTTCGGGAAATTCCGATTTAGTAAAGGGAACTTGGCATCTCGCGATCTTTCTGACCCACTTCCTTCCGAAATACCGGTTTAACGGTAAAGAAAAGGTTAATATGGCAAAAAGGAGAATCCGTTTGTGTTTCTTCCGGGTGCCTCGTGTCCGTTTTGAGCCTCATATAATGCGTGCCTCTTCCTTCTTATAAGTTTATGACGTGCGACACGATTTCCTATCGAGGATCGCTTTAATAGAGAAGAAAACCGAATGATACACTCGAAAACGTCATTTCCGGTTCTTAAGCGATTTCGGCACTTTGATATACGCTAAATTTTACAGGTTACTTATACGTAAATCGACTCGTCTCATAAGGAAGAGCACTGACATATATACAGATAGCATCCTCCTCATTAAGTAATTCACTTGATTAATGAGTTCTTTGTTTACTATGCTAATTGATAATGCAAATTTAATATGATTTACGACCGCAACTACCGAAAAAATTTCTATATGTTATGGAGAAGATGAGAATTTCGGAAATGGAACCAGGATAATACCTCAGTTACACAATCTCAGATGAAGACCCTCGTTTGTTACATAAGAGGTTAGGAAACACAATGCGGTTTGTAAGACGTTCAGGTTAGAAAATTGTATGAAAGATGATCATTCTGGCTTGTATTTACAATTGAGAGAGGCCAAGTTTAATAGAATCACGCTGCAGCTTTTTTCGTGATTGCTCCCACTGACTCAGAACTGAACAATGTGTGTTTCCGCTCTGTAATTTGGTTGCAGCGATGATTCACGCTAGTAAAGCAAACGTCTTTAAATTTATTATGGATTTCACGTGTTCCCGCTTTCTCTACGCGTGATACGCGCGCGATTTTATCGCGTCACGCATTCTTAAACGAGAACGAAAAGGCATCGAAGCGCCTTGCAAAGAAGCGCCGCGACACGCGCGCTCTACTCTTCCTTCCATTTCCTTTTATAGATACGAATTGAAAGAGAAATTACGTAGGTAAATTACGTTTCCTTTCTCCTGCAGCTCGTACATTACAAATTGACTACGCACCATAAGCCAAGAAGCATATTATCTATGCGCGCTTTCGCATCGCGTAAGTTAAAAATAGGCTATAAATACTGCTAGTTATACAATCTTCAAGCAAAGAGAGGAGCGCATACAAGGTAAAATATAATAAAACTTCCTTGAATACACTAAAATCGTGAGCGACATAACGCATTGCAAATTGGATCTTGTATAAACTACGCGGCCTGAATTCCTATTATCAGTTTTTAAGAAAGAAAATCAACCATTAATCTGTAATTATTATTAATTACTTCACTCTTAACAGCTGACCCCAGCCTACGCCTTTAATAATTTGGCAATTTATCTTTAAAAACTCTTTTGTATAGAAAGTAGCACAAAGGATTCTCGGTATAAAGAGATTTTCTTTTATATCGAGGTATATTAAATCGATCTTTAAAGTCGATAAGCTCTAGAACATTTTCAATTAGTAAAAGAACATAAAGATGATCATTGCAAAGTGGACTCGACAAAGATTCAGGGCCAATTTTCGTACTTCAAAATAGAATAAATGGATCCAGAAGTTTTTATGCTGGATCTACAACAAGCAATAATGAACACTGAAAAAGGGGCACTGAACAAAAGTTAATTTATAAGTGAAAATAATATATATATTTTTAAGGTTATTTATCTTTTTGATCATCTGTTGACCTAAAAAAATCTTTCGAAAATTCCATTACAGTCATTTTTATCATTCGAATGCTTTCTAGATCCGGTGTGGGCCTCTTGCCCTTAATCTCACTTTCTAAATAAAAAGCGAAAAGATCGTAAATTATGTCTTAACAATGAATCAAACTGAATCCTAACTTCTACTAAAGAAAAAAAAAGGCCTTCATCCACTTAAAACTTTCCTTATTCTCAGAGGGGGATCTTCAGAAAGAAATGAGTTAATAGTTTTTTAAGAGAATTTAGAAAAGTTTAACACATAAACAAAGGTATGAAGAATGATACCCCCCCTTTTAATGAGTGAAATATAAGTGGCACATGACCTCTACCCAATTTCCATTTACTAAGAGGTATTGTTTCTTTCCTTTTTTTAATATAGAGTCGACTCCTTCAGGAAGGGCGATGCCAACAGTGCCCTTACCAATCATCTGTGGTACAAAATTATGGAACGATGCCAAGTGATAGTGTATTATTTAGTGTGTAATAAAGGTCCAACCCTTCTGTCATATGCAAATTATTCCATTCTTTTGACTAATTTGGCCTCTTGGGGTACTACTTTAGTTACAAATTTCTTTTTTTCTATTGTTGCGAGGAGTAACGAATTCATTTAAACGTGTGTAAACACGCATAAAGAAGAGGAACAGAGTAATTAAACGTGTATAAACTTGTATAAAATAGTGTAAGAGATTAACTTGTTCTTTGAATAAACGTGCAGCAACGTAGATTGACTCTGTAAGCGTGTTTCAATGTGAAATAATATGTTACACCTTAAAATTTATGAGAAAAAATGTAAGTATATGATAAAAATAAATAAAATTCCCATACTTTTGAATTAAATTTAAAATAAAACTAACATTCAACACGTGTAAGAACTTGTGCCAATTTTTAGACCAGGAGTGCCCATTTTCGGCATCACCAAATTTGGTTCATATTTTAAGAAACGGAGGCTTCATTAAAGAGAAGAATATTACGAATTCAGCATATAACTCGTGTTCA